GGAAGAGGAAGAGGAGGAGCAGGAGGAAAAGGAAGAGGGAGAGGCGGGGCGTTCAGCAACTTCCCGGCGGCTCGGGCCGGTCCCTCGGCTGCTTCGGTAGGCCGGCGCCGGCGGTTCGGCTCGGTTCGGCCCGGCCCGGCCCGCAGGTAAGGGCGGATCCCAGGGAGTGCGGGGTCACGTACCCGGGCACGCGCAGTGACCTTCGCCACACGCACGGGCGGGAACGCGCACACGACGCGGTCACACACCACGAACAGCCCCTTCTTCCCTGTTTGAGGGAGGAAGACCCACGGGAAGCAGGCCGTCTCCCACGGGATGCGGCCCCGCTCCCTCCCGTGAGGGCCGCCCGGCACGGGAAGCGCGGCCGCTGCTGCGGTCCCCGGTGTGCCCGCTCCTTAGAGCTCCCGCCCGGCAGAGTCAGCCGGCCTTGCCCGCGCAGAGGTGACCGAAAAGCACAACGCGAAACACACGTCTCTGCCGTGTTAGGCGAAGAACAGCCCTTCCGTAAAAAAGGTTGTTTTCTTTCAGACAGCTAAGGGTAAATTTATTAGATTTAAATAGCATCAGGGAATGAAGGAGAATACCAGCGACTGCATGTGTTTAGCAGAGTCAGACCAACATTTCCTTAAAACATGCTGCTCTTCCGTTGCTGGGATACTGTTACTTAGTTTTATGAATCAGTAGGTCTCAAAGGCCAGCCAGGCTCCTCTGAAAGGAAGATAAATTTAATTATATCATTCAATAATGGAGCTATGATGCCCAGATTGTAGTACAAGTCTGCAGTGCATGATCCAGAACTGGTTTATGAAACCATTTAAAAGAATAAGGATGTCGTGGCTTTTGTGTGGCTGCACTGATGATGCACGAAGATACTTGGGTGTTGGCGGTGGGTGTTCAGTCACAGGGCTGTTGTCACAGCCAGACAAAAAGCTGTTTTCACAGGGGTCTGGACTGGGCAGAGGCAGAGCCCAGGGCAGGAAGGGCAGTAGCTCTACCAGCTGTTTTTTGGCTGCTGTGGAAATCCTGTTGCTTTTTTTCTGTGCCTTGTGGCTAGCTTCAGCTCTGGACCTAGCTGTAGCACACAGCTGTTATCAGGCTGCCCTGTTCATGAACTCATCTGGCTCCTTCTTCAAGTAGTTTGAATGGACATTGTCCCTACTGCTGAGGTATGAAGTCCATCCAAGGCTCCAGACTGTCCCCTTTTCAGACTAAGTTTATTCACAGGCAAGTAATTTTACTTGTTCCTGTGCCTATACCGCTTAGAATTATAAATAAAAGCTTTTTTGCTGATGGTTTACACCTTTCCCATGTATATGCATGCACGTGGATGCGTGTTTACACAAAGTCATATATGTGTGTGTGTGTGTATATGTGTGTATGCATGTATTTATAGAGCAGTCACATTCCCTCCTGGGCAAAAGAGGTCTCACTCTTGCCAGCTCCTCTGGTATGAAATGTGTTTGTTTTCCTGCACCATCCTTGGCTTTTCCTGTAATTGCTCCCTTTGAAACATAAAATAGGAAAACTGCAGAGAATACTCACAGTTTGCTCTTTATTTCCAAGGTTGTCTGCAGCTGTTAGAAAACGGACAATTTCTGAAGGTCTGAACAAAATGCAAATAATGGTCAGCTGCCCCAAAATTGCCAGGGGGATTTAATGAATCGAGAAAGAATAGGAAAAAAAATCCAATGGAAGAAATGTCTCAAAGATGAGTTTCAGTAGTCTTCAAGCACAGGCATATTTTAAAGCATGTTTGAAAGTTTATAGCTTTGTGAGTACCGTGTCAGGATAGATGCCTGTAACTATTTAGATTTAAATTTGAAAATGAGGAGAAAGTAACTAGAAGTGTTAGACTCTTTAAAGGGGAGTTCAGGCTCAGATTTTAAGATACTGAAGGTAACATCAACTCATACATTTTGCTCATTTGTCAGGTTTTCTCTCTGGGTTAAATCTTTGTTACTGTAAAATGACTGTTGATGGCTCAGTCCCTATAATAGCACCATGTATCACTTAAAAAAATTAGTTACAAACACTAGATTTTACTGAACTGGAGTCAAGTCATTCTAATATAACCAGAAGAATCTGACTGATGGGGTAATTTGTTTTTTCTTCTTCCTTAGAATGTCTGCCTTGTGCACAATTAAACATTTATGTCAAGCAACAAGAAGTGAGAACAAATACACAAAAAGGTTCTTTGGTATTCTTCTGACACAGACAGCACAAAAGTGGCTCTTTTCTCCATTCTGGATAGTGGTACCTAACCTTAGGAAGTCAGCTGTGTTTGGGCTTACTCAACCATTTTGTACAGATGAAAAATCTCACGCACAACCAAAAAGGAAAGCAGCATTTGGAAGTGTTGGGCGAAGAATTCCCTATCGAATTTTGCACCTAATCAACCAGGAAGGAGAGAGCTTAGGAAACATGCACCGAGCAGAGGCACTCAAACTTATGGATCAACACGGCCTGAAACTGGTTCTGCTTCGTGATAATGTAGAACCTCCAGTTTATAGACTAATGACTGGGCAGCAGATTCACGAAGAACAGCTTAAACGTGCAGAGAAGAAAAAATCAAGTCCAAAGCCAGGTATGTGCACTGTAAACACTGCAACACTGAGGACTTTGAAAAATGCTGCATTAAAAGTGGTTTCAACAGATTAAATCCTCTTACTTGTATTTGTGTAAATCCAAAGCAATGTCACAGCAGTCCACACTATTAAGGATTTGCAGTGGTGAAAATAAAATTTTGGATTAGTCCAGTCTTCCACACAGAAGCCTTCTATTGCCCTCTTAGGATTTGCTATTTTGGCATCTGCTGACTTCTTAAAAAAATATCTTTATTTGAGTGAATATAACTAGGCTCAGGTTCCATGAGACTCAGTGAATTTCTGTTCTTTTACTAAGGCATGGAGTGATGGGCAGTTTTACAAACTAAGGGCCAGATAACACCAATATAATTATATAGTTTGTCACCAGCAGTAATGAAGCACTTTCTTCCTCATTTGCTGCTAGGAAGACAAAGTCTGAAGTTCTTTCTTGTACAGAATAAGAGAATTTTTTTCAATATTTAACACTTTTCATTTTGTTTTTTTTCTTAAGACCACCTGCTCCAGCAGTTTAACAAACTGAGTTTGGCAAAGAGGCTTCAGAAAAGGCTTGTGACCTTGTATCCTCTCATATCCTCAGGCTAACGAAGATAGCTGTGCTTTGGGTAGACTTCTGATTTTAGAGGACAGCATTACTGTGGTAGTGAGTTGCTCTGTTCAAGAAACCACAAAAATATTATTCAGATGGTAACTACTTTAGAGAAACTATAAGGAGGAAGAGACTGTAGATTGTTCAAATACATGACAAGGCATCATCGTACTTCCAGTTGAATATTGCACTGCACCATTCAATAAAATGGGCTTGAGATAAAGAGCTATCCAACGTCAGAGCTTTTACCTTCAGCTGTCCTGAACACAGGAATTTGCACACTAAGTCTTTAATTCCACATCCAATGCTTACCTGTTTGTTAGACCTACATTGTGGATCATATGAACAAGACTGTAATTAAAAATACCTTAAGCCTTCTGACCCTGAAGAGATTTCCCTGTGTGCCTCAAACATGCACTCAGTCTCCCAGTTAGGGCAGTGAGTGTGAGAGTATCAGGCAGCCACTCTCCCAGGTGAGAGTGGTGCAGGCTGAGACAATGAGATCAGGGTGCTCTGAGAGTGCAGCATGGAAGGAAGGAGTCAAGCACACAAATCACCATAAGCTGATAAAAGAAAGCAACTACTACAGGTTTGTCAAATGTTAAGCAAACACAGTTTCAGTTCTGTTTTAAACAGGGGTGGTTCAGAAGGAGTTATCGTTTTCTTCAGCTATTGCCAAGAACGACTTAGAGACCAAGACTAAACAGATAGCACAGTGGATTGAAAAGAAACACCACGTTAAAGTTACCATCCGACAAGCAAAAGGTAGCAGTACAGACATGGTAAGTGCACTTCTGAAAGTTGGACCAGTCAGTGTCATTAAATAGCTGCAGCTGTATTGACCTTCCCTAGTGGGTACTGCCAAGATTTTTAGTATCTCAGTGAAGATCTGGGTCCCATGCAAGTAATGGTTGCCTGCCCTAAGCTGCTTCTGTTTACTAGTGTAGAAGTAGTCCCAGAGAGACAACTCAAATACCATCCTTCCTTAAGAATACAGCTGCAGTACTGGCTTGGACAGCAGAGTCTAAGCAATTCCTACTCCTATGTACCTTGTTAATGGGACCAATGAAATTTTCTTACCTGTGGCATTAGCCAGCTCAGCCACTCAAAACAGTGTGCTTTAAAAAAATGTTTGTATTTTAGTTGGATTATTTCACCAACAGTTCTTCTGGTGCTGCACTTATGCAACTTTGGCTAAAGTTAGTTGTCCATTCCTACATGAAAAACTACTGGAATGGTGTTCCAAGACTAGCAAAGTGCACATCACTAAAAATGTTAAGAAGCTGATGGCAACTTTCCAGTATAATTGCAGGGTCTTGAGACTTAACTGTCGTTCATAAAAATGGATTTTTTATAAATATTCTGTGAAAGACTTTTTTTTTTTTCTCCTCCTCGTAATGTCTGTAGTGAATTGGGTGTTATTGATGATTGTCTCAAATAATTTTTGGAAAATTGTGATTTCATCCAAAAAGAACAAAACTTTCTGTAGAAAGTTAAGTTCACTGGGAAGGGATAACAGGAAGAACTGATGAAGGGAGGGAACAGAACATTTCACGACACAGTCCTGATTTACACTGTCCTTAAATTTAAAGGCTTAATAATGAGATCAGTAATTTCTCGTGTTACATGAATGCACTGTTACCACTCAGTTCAATACTACCAGGTCCTGCTAACCTTAGAATACTATCCCTTAAGAGAAAAGCCTCATATAACAATATATCTGAATCTAGAGGGAAAGAAGGGTGGAGTCAGATTCAGACCATTCTCACAGACACCCTTAAAGAGCAAAACACCATGAGTTAGCAGTCCAGCCTAAATGTTAGGAAGTGGCTGAATCCTCCACTAGTGACTTGACTAAACCTGTTTATGAGTAAAGAACAGTTAAGAAAGGACAAGCTGAAGTGCTCAAACTAGGACTAGCAACTAACTGTTTCAGCTAATAGCTAAACTAAGCAGATCATGTTATTACAGAGTAGCTTGAAATATTTTTCTGCCTGTATTTGTGCATTCATTTAGTTCCATTTTTCTCCTTCTTTTTAGTTCACACTTTTTGATCACATTTTGGAGACTGTGTCTGAGAAAGCCACTTATCTTTCCAAGCCAAAAGTTGCTAGAGAAGGAGTGAGTACCTGTGTTTTGAGGCACATGTCTGACAAAGAGTTGAAAGAACACCAGAAGATGGAAATCAAGAAAAACAGTGCAGTAAAGGAAGATGAAAACGAAGATCTGAAGTCAAAGGAGTTACATCAATGACTTTCTGAAGCAGTGTAAACAATATATATTTATTTAAAAATAATAAAAAAAAATAACTCTAAAAATTAACTCTATTAGATAAAGAGCTTTGCATTGATCATTCCATGAAGAACACTAACTTGCTTAACCTTTGCTACACAGTCCGAATTTCAGCAGCTGGTATTCCATTTTCCATGAGCTTATCCACTATCTTGCTTTCCATCAGAACCTCGTCCTTTCCTGGCTGCTTTTTAGGAGGAATATATCCACTGAGATGAGAGGCTAAGCTCCTCCTGGGACGAGAACGTCTTGCCTGGCAGAAATAGATCCAGAATTAGTAAACTTAACATACCTGTGGAGCAGACTACTGCTGTGGTAGGGAAAAAAAGAAATCCATGTACAAACCAGGACTGCATTATCTAAAGGAGCTTCATAAATTAAGAATCTCACAAATTACCTAGATACTTGACCCGTTTTCCTCCTTGAAGTCACATTCTAAAACAGGTAATGTTTACCCTCCTCTGCAGTGACAGGGTAGGGGTGAGAAGATTTTTCCAAGAGTTTAACTTACTTTCAAGTTCAGCTTTCTCTTTTCAGGATCATGTACGACTGCATGCCTTGCTAGGCTCTGCTACAGTTACAAACAGCAGGGGAGGGAAAAAAAGGAGTTAAATTTATAATTTCAGATTATGGGATTCAGATAAGAAGTTACAAAAACACATACCTTCATTGCAAACACTTTTCCACAGCCTGGATAATCACAAGAGAATGGTTTTTTCTCCTCATGAAAAGAGAGGATATGGCTTTGAAGGTTAAATAAAGTTGTGTAAGTTCTTCCACATCCTTCTCTGGGGCAGTGCCAGACTTCCCTCTCCACAGCATGTGTCTTTTGATGCTGCTTCAGGTAATCCTTCCGTTTTAAAGTTTTGTTACATTCACTGCAGACTACTGGCTCTAAGTGGGGGAAAGAAAGGCAGAGCATAAATAACAGTTATTCTGAGTTTCTTACAGAAGCTCAGAATCAAACCCTAGGGATCTATTAGAACAATGCTAAAATCAACATGAATTGCAAGGAACTTAGAGACTTCAGGAGGATAATGCAGTATGAATTATCCAGATCTGAAATCCTACATAAAACATTTTTTTGTTAGCTGAATCACACAGTTAAGTCAGTATACTGAGCAGCGTTTTCATCAAAGGTCTAGCTGGAGTGACAGCCACTTTACCTACCAATAAAGTTACTAGACAAGTTTGGGACACACTGACAAGTTGATGAAATGAGTACAACAAGCACTCCTCTTCAGATTAGCAGGTGGTTTCCTATTTGTATCATAAGTTTACAAAAGCACTTGGAATTTACCTGTATGACTGACTTTATTATGTTTCAGAAGCTCTGTCCAAGTTTTTCCGATATATGAGCAGTTTTCCTTCTTGCATGCATAGCCTGTTAGACAGATGTTTACAATCACAAAGGGTCTGGCAAACAGTCCAGTGTTACAAGAGGGAACTCAACCCCTAGCATTTGAAAATTAAAACCCAGTTATTCCTCCCATACTGCACAGGAATAGGGTAAGAGACAACATTCAACACAAGTTAGAACAAGAGAAAATCCTACCAGTTTGAAGTAAGAAACCTTGTATCACTGTCACCAATCCTCCAGAGAGGCTGTGGAAGCCCTAGCACTGGAACCATTCAACACCACTAGATGCAGTCCACAACAACCTGGTCTAACTGGCTCCACCTTGAGCAGGGGGCTGGACCAGATGACCTCCAGAGAGCCTTTCTGACCTAAATGATTTTGTGAAACTCTTTCCTTGCTTCAGTAAAGCTACTTCCTCACAGCCACACAATGTCTCTCAAATAGATGAAAATAACTATAATATATATTACTTCTGTATAAATATTTGTCTTGCATATTAAAAAGAAATATTGACCATACAGTAATATTCCAAAGTCCAAAGAGATTCTACCGTTCTGTCAAGCAGGCAGGAACCACAGAAAGTCCACACTATTTAAAACCAGGACTGGAATGCTCAAAATCCTATGAACAAGTCCTTGTCTTAAGAAAAGGGAATCACAGTACAAATCACAACCTTCTGGTTATTCTTCCTAGTCTATTGGGTTTGTTTGGTTTGGTTTTTGTTCTATCACTGGAAAGCTGGTTACCTGTCAATGAAAGAATGGATAGGAGGGCAGCAGGATTAGCTCAACATACATGGCCACATCACGATGATTTCACTTAAAAGCCTGTTACATAGGTTCATTAATAACTAAAAATACACATGGTTCTGCCAAGCCTCCATAGGAAAATTTGTGGCAGAACTGGCAACTTATCCTAAACTCTGGACATCTAGGCTAATGCCTTAACCACCTCCAAAAGATGGATTATTTGCCAGAAAGCTCCTCAGGAGAAGAAATAACTGAAGGAATCCTGAGCTCTGCACAGACTAACACAAACACCATAACTGAACACTGCAATGCCCTGCAGTTATATCCCACTACTATTCAAAACAGGTGTTCTTGTCTTGTCTGGATCACTAGGCCCAGAACACTTTCAGATCTGTAACACATCTGTGCATACTCTGCACGGGAGTCCTTTTTCCTTTGCTGAAACATAACTTAGAAAGAAAAAATAGTTTTACCTTCATGTATCTTCTCGTGCCGCTTTAGTCGACTTGGAGTAGAGAAATACTTTCCACATCCTTCTTTATTACATCTAGGTACAAAATAGCAGTGGTTTCATTTCTTTCACAGTATCTATGTATTTTTTGTTAAGTCAAGAACAATTAAAATGAGCAAAATAATCCAAGTTTCCCTTTGCCTACAGATCTGTGTGTCCCCCCACGTTGTAAAAGGAAATTCCATAATTGTTTTTTTAATAGACTTGGATGTTCTATAGTACTAACTTAAAGTTCTAACTTAAAAGTTAGAACTATAGTATGATTTCCAAATATACAGCAAGAGTCAAGCCTTGTATCATCCCTACACAGCAGGCTCATCAAACATAAAAGAAGGACAGAAAGTGGAAGGTTTAAATGGCTTGTACAGAACCAGCAGAACACTGACATTTTTGTCTGTCATCCAACCAAAGTAGTGCATTTCACTTAAGTGGAATGAAAACTCACACTAAGTGTGACCCACGTGTAAGAAATACAAGACTGAACATTGAAGTAAAAGTGTTACCCACATAGAGTTGCAATGCACAGCTTCCTAGATCAGTGTCAAAGTCTCTCCCCTTTTTCTACTCACATCAATGTCAGCCAAGTCACTGCTTCTTATTGAGAAATAAAGGTAGCTGCCTTTTTCATTATTGTGCAAGCTCTTATGCTTGTATTTCCAGCTATGAACTAAAAACTGGGGAGTGGGGGGAGTTGTGTTATTTTTTTATAAAACTGCTGGAATGCTGAAGTTACAGAGCACCAAGATTGCTGCCCAAAACAGATCAGTGAGCAAAGGACATACTTGAAGCCCTGACTACAAACTGATTTGTTTTTTTACTGCCACATCAATGAAAAGGCTGAGAAAATGCACCTGTTTTCATCTACAGTGTTTAAGTGTTAAAGTTCAGTATTAAAATTATCCACATACTTGAAGGGAGTTTCATTGGTGTGGTGACACTGATGAACTTTAAGTTGTTGATGCTTCTTGAAAGACTCGTTACAGCCTTCAAAGTCACACTATTAAGGAAATTAAGTTATCATTAGAGGCCAAATAATGACAGTTCATGTGTTTGCTGAAATCCCAGTTATGGTATTTGAACATACACAAGAACTACATAATGACAAGTCCAGATACACAAGAAGGAACTTGTTTGGCCTCCATTGTACAGTACAAAGGTAATTACTCACCACATACTGCTTTTGCTGATTTTGATGCTTGCGCTCAACATGCTTCTTCATGTTTGATTTTGTTCCAAATTTCTCATTGCATCCCTCAGCTGTGCACCTGCAAATGGACTGTATTTTTTATATGTATACTGCTGTCAAACACTGATTTTTCCCTAGGCAGATACAGAAATCATTGTACAAGAACACACAGAAGAATTACTGAAAAGCCAGAGGCTAAGTTCGTCTTTTAATAATGTATTTTTGGGGGAGATCTGCCCATTCCTTTAAACATTAAAGTTACAGATCACTGCCAGATCACGGGGTTTGATCCCACCCCGCGTGCACACTGTTATGGTAATGCCCATGACACAAAAGCCCTGTACCACCGCCTCGTTTTAACTTCCTTTCCTTACGAACAACCGCACTTCAGATGAAGAAGCAAAAACTCGGGCCTTACTTGAACGGCTTTTCCCCGGTGTGCGTGAGGAGGTGTCGGGCGCGGTGGAAATCCCTCGTGAACCCTTTGCCGCAGCCTTCATAATCGCAAACATAGGGCCTCTGAAAGAGAGGGGTTGTTCCAGGGGCAAACCCACCCCCTCGGGGGCTCGGCCGCCGCGGGGAGGCCGCCGCCAGCGTGATGTCCCGTCCGAGGACACAGCCCGCGGCCCCCGCCGCGCCGTGGCACCCCCGACAAGGCGAAGCGGCCTG